TCTTGTGTGTCACTGCCGTCTGTAGCCAAATAAGTGGAGATGACCGGTACATAGGTGTAATTCGGTGACCCCGGTCCATCTACAGAGATCATCAGTGAAGAATGGTTGACAAGGCTGGTAGACCACAGAGTGCCTGGCTACGTTTCTTCATTTTCCAGCACCGGTGGGTGTTGGGGTGCCTCGTGGTCAACATTGGTCACATTGGACCTGGATATCAGGTTGACATAGGGTGTTTCAGATGTCCAGGCAGCTTCCAGTGCTACGAAGCCATCAAAATCGTCCATAGCTTCTGGCAGTGCAGCGAGGATGGCTGGGGACAATGTTGGTGGATATTGTCGATTTACCAGTGGCTCTGTCTTCATGGTGTCCTGTGGGTTAGGCCTACCATCAACGGTTGAGGAAGGTCTAGAAATTGACTTGAGGGTGACCATCGCATCACTTGGTGTGTGCAGGCTGATACAGCGTGTGTCGGTCTGGTGTGATGTCCACAGCTTCTGAGTTAGTTGGAAGCAGTTGCCTTCATCTTCAGGTACAGGAGCTGGGTGCTGAGAGGGATTGTTCCACAAGGAACACCACAGAAGGCCAATATCCCTCTGCATCATCCAGCAAAGCTCAGGCTGTACTGATGGACGATCAGCAATTGACGTCCGACACGCAATGAACGTCATTATGGGGATGGTGAAGGACCGCTCCGTGTTGTGATACTCCCACAGGAAGGTGTGACTTCCAACTTTGGATTGACAGAGCCAACATGACAATTAATGCTGGTACCTGGAAGACAGCAAAATTTGACACATATAATATGTTACATTAAGCAATATAGCATTCTTTCCCTAAAAATTAATACTTCTAATAGCAGAAAGCTATAAGGTGCATGTGCATGCTGAGCTTTAAGATGTTGGGAGTATCGGTGAGAGATCTTAGACAAGGGGAGTTGAGAGGCACTGTGGGTTGCTCATCTCGGGCTGGAACTTTCACAGTGGAGTCTGCGAAGAAGACTGAGTATGTCATGAACCAGACAAGGATTGGCATCTCACTAATCAGACCCTTCCAGTAGAGAACAGAAAAGGTGCCCCAGACTGTACTCCAGCCGGCTAGCTTAGCAGTCTTCAGGAACCATTTGCACTTTACCTTTCCAGTCAGAGATAAGGCTTGTTTGGCGACATAGACAACCACTGCTGCTGCTAGCACTCCTTCCCATACTACCAGGAAGATGATTTCAGGGGTATAGCGTAGATGTGGGGATTGGACTTTCGGAGCTCTGAACAACTCGATGGTCATTGTAGGGGTCATCTCGAGTGAAGAAACAGGAGTACTGCCTCAAAGCAGGTCTCGCACAGGCCTGAGGAAAGGCAGGGACGCTGAACTCTTATTTTAGGCCAGGACGGGTCATTTCTACACGAGGACTTCAGTTCTCTTAATCAGATATTAACAGAAACGATCTATTCTGTTCATGATTCATTTATTGTTTAACTAAGGATGTTAAAGCATTTGTTRATYAACAAATGCTTTAACATCCTTAGTTAAACAATAAATGAATCATGAACAGAATAGATCGTTTCTGTTAATATCTGATTAAGAGAACTGAAGTCCTCGTGTAGAAATGACCCGTCMTGGCCTAAAATAAGAGTTCAGCGTCCCTGCCTTTCCTCAGGCCTGTGCGAGACCTGCTTTGAGGCAGTACTCCTGTTTCTTCACTCGAGATGACCCAACATCATGATCAGAGTGTCAATGAGAATCCATGAGCCCAGCAAGGCCATTTGGGGCACTTCCAGCCACACTCATCCCTGCATGTAAGTGACGAATAGAGGCAAGGCTAATTCCTGCTTTTTAGCCAGTCCATACAGGATAATTTTCAGGTAGCTATGGCCAGCACTGAAGAGGCGCATCGGCTTGTATGCCATCCAAATGCCAGAGTGACAATAAGCGAACCACCCACATAAGATGGTGTAGTATTCTGCCGTACTCACTTCGAAGGCATACGGCTCTCCAGAATCAGGTTCTAGGTATGTGTTGGAGCCATTCTGGTAGATTTGAGACAGCAATTATGTGGTTTAGCCCCTTTCAGTTAGAGCTTTGCTGGTACTTGGCACTTCAGTAGATTTTGTAACAGGATCGTCTTTTAAAACCTGTATGTCTATCCATCTTGTTGTTTCAGAGTCTGCGGTTGACTTGGAAGCAAGCATGTTTGGGATGGTGAGGGCAGCGGGCGTCACTGCTGGGTCTTCTGCTGGGGAATCATCCAACATGACGTTGGTGATATTATTCGTAACCTCATAGGTCCATTCCACTTCAGTGTTGTTGTCTGCATGAGCCATAGCTATAGTGAGCAAAAGATAAATGATTATACTCACACTGCTCATGGTTAGGCTGTTCAAGCTATGATTTGTTGGGAGGGTATGATTAGGAGCTAGTTCTTCTTGTCTGCCAACTTCCTTGTTCCGAAGTAAATGAGTCTCTCCCCTTGTGACTTCTCCTTTTATTTCTGACCAGCACCTTCTTCAGGAGGGAGGGGCTTGTAGAACCTCCCACCAGGCATGTTAGCATCTTCATCCCCACCTGCAGGGCCACCTTGGCAAGGAGCCCAGTCATGAGGAAGCCCACCAGTGTTAATGTATAGGGCCATGTTGTGGGAAGATGGTCAGAAACACGGAGAAAGGGTGTTAAAAAGACAAATAGTCTTGCGGGTATGATCATAAAGTCATTTATTAATGGGCAGACATGGAACAGATAACAATCACGAAGTCTGTTAGATGTGGCCCGCCTGTCATAGGCCGGCAAGCAATGTTATACTCTCAGCTAACATCATGTGATAATGAACAACCAATCCCAACCTGCCTCATCCTGATACGTGAAAGTAGGTCAACTTGATGCTGACGTCCGGAGAGTTTCAACAAGATATGAAAAGTGGACAGTGTCAAGGTGATACAGACGTAAGTATTCCACAACAGGCCATATTTTCTCAAGTAGAAGAAGCTCTCCACTGCATTGGCTGCCTCCCCTAAGACTTCCACACTCTCGTTTGCTATGGCCTTAAGATTGCGATGAGCTGTTACTGTTAAGGTTTCATACCATGCGCAGGAGTGTAGATCTGCACCTCGTCCACATTTTTTTCACACTTCTTCTGGGTATTTGCATGTGAGGTTAGATTACAGGATGTTCTCTCCAACCCATTCAAAGCCTTCGATTTCCATGCCCAGACACAGTTGTCTTCTGAAAGCACGCCCTTCAGCCAGGGCTATAATTGTGGCTTGGACTGAAGGTATGATGATATGGGTCAGGTGTCTTCTGTGCCTTAATCGGTGTCCCAGGATTCCAGCAATACAGGTTGTGTATAGGGGGACTGAACATCTCCACGTCTTGTCCTTTCATCCGATTTCCCATGGCACTTCGGCTACATGGGTTTCATACTCCTGTTTGTAAAAGTCTTCACAATAATCTTCCCAACCAGGCTATTCAGAGCAGGAGCATCTCACCAGGCTGAATGTGCAGGTATAATTTTTGGTTCATATCATCTTCCATGGACGTGGATGCACATACCTGTCAGGGCAATAAATGAGTGAAGACCATATGTCATGTTCCTTGGAGTACACGGTGGCGATGTACTGGTACTTAATCCAGCAGTTGTTGGACTCGGATAGGCAGGGAAAAACCGAGTGTTCCATCTCTTCTCTCCGGAACCCCCACCATGTTCTGGTCTTGTCTCTCTTATGGCCTTCAACTAAGCCTTGGAGCAGTTCTTTTGTGGTGTTGTAGGTCAGAATTTCTGTGCTATCATACCTCCAAGTAGACACAAATTAAATGTGATCCAAGAATAAACTACTCCGTGGGATGGTCGTCAGGATTTATTGCAATTGCAGACACACATCATGTCACACAGGGCAGTGGTACATAGTATGTGTGGAATGAGGCAGTCACAGACAGACAGACAGACAGACAGACTTTATTTTCTGTCCCATAGGTGACAGAAGAATGTTATCCAAAACAGACGATAACACATTTCCTGGTTCCGATGCTGGGTCAAGGAAAGCATGTTATTTGAAAAACAATCCAGCAAGAATGATTGCTTCTAAACAGATCTTGTCCTGGTTGTAAAACACTTTATCTGAGAGAAAACAGAAGATAAACAGTTAAGACATGGTGACAGTTAGGTCAGCAAAACAGGTCACTGAAGCATGGGAAAAGGAAGACAAGTTATTTTTCTATTACAAGGCTGGGAGACATTTCCACCTTTACATGTCTTTAATGAATGACTGTAAACACAGTGGAAATATGAGTTTGGTAAAACTTAGAAAATTATTTACTAAACAGTTGATGTGAAGAAATGAGTTGCAGCACAGCGCTCTGAAAGTATGGGATTTTATTTTAGAATCATGAAGTCGCCTCCTTCAGCTCCGTGGCTCGGCTCAGAACCACATTAAAATGATAGATTGTAAATTGTTTGGTGTGAAACCAAAAAACACATTGCCCTCAATTCTTCTTGTTGGGATGTCACCCTGCAGTACAACAGCTGACATTGTTCCACAAATTACACTAAATTTTGCACAGCTATTTATGAACAAACTTATTGTCTGCATCTTGTGGAGCTAAGGAATCATAACAGATTAGCTGTTCTGAATTAATCTGTTGCACTGACAGTTTTTTTCTCAGTGAAAATTAAAATGTTTCTTAGACAATTCACACATTTCATTCTCCTCAGCTGACTTGTGTTTATATCTACATGACAAAAATGTAAAAAAAAATACAATTTACAGTGGACTGAGAGTGTTTCAATAACCTTTCAAACAATAAGAGCTAACACTGTGTTCAGACGCTCCTTACAACCAGAAAACAGAACAGAGTCTGTTTGTGGGTTAAAACTGTTGACTGAAAAACTTTGTGTGCTGTCTGTACATTTTCACAGCAGGTGAGATGTTAACTGTTGGCAATATCAAATGAAAGAGTAACAATAGGATTATTTATTCACTCCTCATTGTTTCTTTGTGTTTATTGTGCTGCAGGTTCTACCTACAGAATCATTTTGCTTGGAAAAGATGAAGAAAAGAAGACCAGAATTGGAAATCTTGTTGTTGGACAATCAGGAACACATTTCCTAAAACAAACAGCCAAGACATGTGTGGTCACACACGGGGAGTGGAAAGGATCTTCATTAACGGTGGTTAAAACCCCGAACTTCTTCAGGATGTCCCAGGAAACTATTAAAGAAGAAATGAAGAAATGTGTGAGTTTTTGTGAACCTGGACCAAATGTTCTGCTGCTGTTAGTAAAACCCTCCTCATTCAGTCTGAAGAAGAGTCAAACCCTCAACTTCATCTTCAGTTTGTTTAGAGAAGATGCCTTTAAAGTCTCTATGGTTGTCAGAACACATGATGAGAGGAACTGTTCGTCAGTCATACAGCTGATTAAAGACTGTGATGCGAAACAGTACAATATGTATGAAATTGACCAAAGAACATTGATGAAGAAAGTCTGGAACATCATACTTGACAACAGAGGAGCCTTCCTCACCCTTGCTGATGACGTAAGACCAGAGCCACACCAGATGAGACCTCCTTTAAACCTGGTTCTGGTTGGGAACAGAGGAGCAGAGAAGACTTTAGCAGCTAAATCTATTTTAAGTAAGACAGATCTTCCTCCATCCTCCAGCCCATCACAGTGTGTTAAACATGAGGCAGAGGTGTGTGGACGTCAGGTTTCTGTGCTGGAGATGCCTCCTCTGTATGACAAACCACCTGAGGAAGTGATGGAGGAATCCCTCAGGTGTGTCTCCCTCTGTGATCCTGAGGGGGTCCATGCCTTCATCCTGGTCCTACCTGTGGCTCCCCTCACTGATGAAGACAAGGGAGAGTTACAGACCATCCAGGACACATTCAGCCCTCAAGTCAAAGACTTCATCATGATTCTGTTCACTGTGGACTCAGATCCTGCAGCTCCAGCTGTTCTTAACTTTATAAAGGAGACCAAGGAGATCCAGGAGCTCTGTCAGAGCTGTGGAGGAAGGTATTTTGTTCTTAATGTCAAGAACAAGAAGCAGATCCCACAACTGCTGAAGTTTGTGGACAAGAGCAGAGAGTCCTACACAACAAAGACACATGCAAATGCTCAAACAGAAAAATATAGAAAATTGCAAGAGGAAAATCAGGACCTGAAATTAAAGAAAAACTCCACCAGTAAGTAAACTATACCTTCACTATCCAACTCTGATGTGTTTCTTCTTTGTTTCTGCATCATAATGAGACCTGTGGCTGTAAGAAAACTGGATACTTCATAGTGGTAACATAATGACCCGCACATGCATAAATGCACCAGAACTTAGAAGTCTTTATTCCTAATAAATGTCTTGCTACTAGATGCATCCCAAAATTGTTGTGGTTTGGGTGGGGGTCTTTTTTGTTTGTGTATGTGTGTGTGTGTGTGGTGGGGGGGGCATTGGTTGACCTAATGGATAGCCCCTCATCAGAGCTAAACAACCAAAGAAAATCTGAAGCTCCTATGTTTACAGTTTTTGAGCTATAACCATTTTTGCATGACCAGATACTCATTTTTCAGATAAATTGGGGGTCCGTGGGGGAGGGGAGGGGCACTGATTGGTGGGCCTGATGGATAGAGCTTCATCAGAGCTAAACCAATGAAAATCTGAAGCTTCTATGTTGAACAGTTTCTTAGTTTTTAGCGTTTTTGCATGTCCAGACAACCCCTCTTTGGATCGAACCCCCTCCTCAAATATGGGGTCTAGTCTAAAACCGTTGGCTGGCACAGTGTAGATCGAACATATCTACAGCCCTCCCAAATTTCCTGTTGATTGGTGCAGCCGTTTTTGTGCAGCGGTTGACCAAAAATCACTGAAAAAAATACGTACAAAAACAAAATGACTCCTGCTTACGCTTCGCGTGCGGGGGTCATAATAACAACTCTATACGTACAGTATGGACTAAAGCAGTAGATTTTACCCTATTACAAAAATATCAAGAGTGCTAAAATCTATATTATAGTTGACAAAAACATTTGTTAAAAAGCATTTTAGGTTTCTATGATTATTCAGTTGAAAACTCTGGGAACCACTGGAGTACAAGTCACTTGTTCCACAATTCACAGGAACCTTCCCAAACATCGCATTTCAATGCAATAAGTCAGTGTGTGGATGCTGGTTGTCCACTGACATGTTCAAAATAAAATCCTTTGCATTTTACAGACAGAGATAAAAGCAACAAGTTTTAAAAACAACTTTTGTCTATTTTTACAAAATCAGTATCAAAAGTGGCTAAACAATCCTCCTACACAAAGTCAGAACACTGAGCTGCAGCATGTGCTCTAATCATAAAATATGTAAACATGTTCACTGTAATGATCACACAATTAAAACTGAATAAGAATTTTAGGTTACTTTTCATGGTCACCACCAGTGTTGTATAAAGTACCACAAAGTGATACTTGAGTAAAAGTACAAGTATCTCACCAAAAAATGACTTTGGTAAAAGTTAAAGTCTTCTTTAGGAATGTTACTTGAGTAAAAACCTTAAAGTATGCGATATTTGTTGTACTTAAGTATTAAAAGTCAAAGTACTGATTTAAAATGAGTTATTTGATTTATTGTTCTCTTAACTGAAAGTATTACACATTTTGATAATCAGAGAATGTTTATCAAAGTTACAGGAGAAAACTCCCTCAGTATGATTTCAGCTATGTGTGGATTTTCTGTGCAAAAAATCTTATTGAACTAAAATATTTTTTATGGTTTAAAGTTGATGAAGCATCAATGTTTTACTTGTCTGAATCATATTTGCAAATGTTTTGAATTTGAAGTCATTCATTCTTTCAGTTGTGTTTTTAAAGAAGTTCTTTCTCATCAGATAATTAAATGGGTGATGAAATGTTTTGTTTCTGAACCACACAGAAGCAATAATCTTGTTTAGTTTCAGGAGGCGACGGCAAGTCTCTGACTAACATTTTCCTTGATAACCCCTTTTCTAATCTTACCTCCGGAGGGCGGAGCTAGGACACTAAGCTTCTTTAGTACTAACAGTTTCTGCCCGGACGGCAGAAAGTGACGGACCGCCCATACGTGAAGACGAGCAGTCTCTTCTTCCAGCTCGATTCTCCCAGGAATCAGAAGCTGAAGCTATCGGTTTAAAACCCGTTCTCACCAACGGGGAAACTGGACAGCCAGATCCGACCAACGCCTGGTCGATGCGCTTCGTAAACTGACTTATTATTAACTTCTGAGAAGTTTGTAAAACTTAGAAGAGGCACTAGGCCCTTTAACATCTTCACAAAACTTTGTCCAAGAAAGTCTCTTGCATTCCCTTAAAACACTTTTATAAGAAGGAAAAAAATAGTATAGGTCTTCTGGACGGGTTCTTCTTTAATGAAACGTTTCGTCTCTCCTCCAAGAGACTTCTTCAGTCTGAGAGTTTCAGGCAAAATTCAGGATTTTGAGTCCTGCCTCCAGGTGACTGATACTCACATCACATGGCTATCGTTCACACCTAATTAACACTTATTGTTAACAGGGGGTGGAGTGATACTGCCAATGGAAGCGCTGTAGGAGGGGGACAGCTGAAAACACAGACGAGCTAATTCTAATGGCCAGAACTCTGCAGTTTTCACTCATTTACAGGCCAGCGGTCACTCTTTCAG